CCCCCCCACAAGCACCAAGAATACAGAGCATCCCTTGCCCCAGCCTGAGAGTCCCTATCTATACCTTGTGGCTAATAGCCACTGATGGACCTCTGCTCCATATAAGAACATAAGAGAAGCCAATGTTGGGTTAGGCCAATGGCTCCATCCAGTCCAACACTCCTGTGTTGCACAGTGGGCAAAAACACCAGGTGCCATCAGGAGGTCCAGCAGTGGGGCAGGACATTAGAAGCCCTAGAAGGAGGAGTTTTATGAAATTATGCATGGAATGGAGAAGGTGGAAAGAAGATTTTCTCCCTGTCCCGTAATACTGGAGCTCAGGGGCACCCAGTAAAGTTGATGGAAGTTGGTTCAGATCAAGCCAAAAGGATTATAATTATCATATGGCATCGTGTGTAGAATGGCCAGGAGATCCTGAGATTGTCCGGCAGCCGCAAGCCAAGGTGGCCCCATAAACAGCTTTCTAAAGATTTGAGAAATTAAAAAAAAACCTCATTCAGGAAGTGGAAGGAGGGCCTCATAGCCAAGGATGAATACAAACAAATAACCAGGGCTTGTAGGGAGAGAGAGAGTTAGGAAAGCTACAGCTCAGTGTGAACGTAGGCTAGCAAGAGATGCTAAAAGCAACAAAAAAAGAGATCTTTTCTTATGTTATTAAGAAAAAGAGCAAGGGCATTGTAGGCACATTGTGGGGACAGGAAAGTGAAATTGTAACAGGGGATGAAGAGAGGGCAGAACTGCTCAGTTCCTACTTTTCCTCAGTCTTCTCTTGCGAGGGAAACGGTACTCAACATGGCAAAATCAGAGCACATGATGAGAGAAGGGAGTTGCAGCCTGGGATCGGCATAGGGGTAGTACATAAACACCCAGTGTCTTTAAATGACACGAAGTCCTCGGGGCCAGATGAGCTGCATTCAAGGGTACTAAAAGAACTCATGGATGTAATTTCTGAGCCTCTGTCCATTGTTTTTGAGAATTCCTGGAGAACAGGTGAAGTGCCAGAAGTTTGGGGGTGGGCAGATGTTGTCCCCATCTTCAAGAAGGAGAAAAAGGGAGGAGCCGGGTAATTATCAACCTGTCAGCTTGACGTCTGTACCTGGGAAAGTTTTAGAACAGATTATCAAACAGTGATTACAGCCATCCTTTCTAAATGTTCAAGGACTAAAATGTAAAGTTCTGCATTTAGATAGGAAAAATCAAATGCATAATTATAGGATGGGGGAGACTTGTCTTGGCAGTAGTATGTGTGAAAAGGATCTAGGGATCTTAGTAGACCATATGCTGAACATGAGTCAGCAGCGAGATGCAGTTGCTAAAAGGGCAAATGCCATTTTGGGCTGTATCAACAGAAGTATCGTGTCCAGATCACATGAAGTGATGGTATTGCTTTACTCTGCTCTGGTTAGACCTAACCTAAAGTATTGTGTTCAGTTTTTGGCACCACAATTTAAGAAGGGTATAGACAAGCTGGAATGTGCCCATAGGAGGGCAACAAAGAGGGTGAGGGGTCTGGAGATCCAAGTCCTATGAGGAAAGGTTAAAGGAGGTGGGTATGTTTTGCCTGGAGAGGAGACGACTGAGAAGGAGATATGATAACCATCTTTAAGCACTTGAAGGGCTGTCATCTAGAGGATGGTGTGGAGTTGTTTTCTGTTGTCCCAGAAGGTTGGACTAGAACCAACAGGTTGAAATAAAATCAGAAGTGTTTTCGGCTAAACATTAGGAAGAAGCTCCTGATAGTTTGAGCGGTTCCTCAGTGGAACAGGCTTCCTCGGGAGATGGTGAGCTCTCCTTCTCTGGAGGTTTTCAAGCAGAGCCTAGATGGCCTCATCTGACAGCCATGCGGATTCTGTGAACTTAGGCAGATCATGAGAGGGAGGGCAGGAAGGGTTGCATCAGTGCTTAGTTCTGGTGGTGCTTTCTTACATGCCCAGGAAAATGCTGATTGGCACTTTGGGGTCAGGAAGCAATTTTTCTCCAGGCCAGTTTGGCTGGAGATCCTGGAGGGTTTTTTTTTTTGTCATCTTCTGGGCATGGAGCAGGGGTCACTTGGGGTGTGGGGTGGGAAGTAGTTGTGAATTTCCTGCAT